GATATGGCCTTTTATCTCTAGAAACCCAAGACAGTGTTTGCAGATTGGCCTCTGGAATGAAATTAGCCTGGCACACTGGCACGTTCCTGCAAAGCCTGGGCATTTCCATAAGTGCTTCTGAGTCCCGTAATCCTTTTGATCATTTGCACTGTGTATTTTGACACAGGTTCTTTTACTGTGGAGAAATAAAGTAAAGAAACTGAAAGGTGAGTCTGGTGAGGGCATCTCTGCACTGTTTGTCAATGCAAATGGAGCTTGAACTTGAATGATAGTAGTTTCTCTCTTAAACTGCCAGGCTTCTTTAAACCTCTCAACAAATAATGTCTGTGGTGATAAGGTCTGAAAGTGTTTGCTGGTGAGTTGGAAGTCTTTGCAGATCTCCATTGCTGTCACAAAAGAAGAGTCTGATCCTGTGAACTATTTTTACAGCTTGAGTGTCAATTACTTCACAGCTGTGCTTTCTCATCTGGGCACTATCTGGGTGACATTTGCTCTCTCTTGGTGACCTCAGTTTCCTCCATCTCAAAGCCTTGGCTGGGGCCATAGAATGGGGACAGACTTCCTCTCTGATTGAAACCTGGTTGGTTATGACTTACCAGCTGTGTGATGTGTGTGAGGAAACTTACGGAGAGACTTGGTTTCCTCATCTGTGAAAGGGGACCGTATCTTTCTTGCAACATTTGATGTAAGCAATATTTGTACCCCTGTGTTCATAGTAGCATTTCATAGTAGCTAAAATGTGGAAGCAAGCCAAGTGTCCAATGATGGATGAATGGATAAACAAAATATGTACACACACACACACACATATTTTTTTCTTTTTTTATTGTTTTATTATTCATATGTGCATACAAGGCTTGGGTCATTTCTCCCCCCTGCCCCCACCCCCTCCCTTACCACCCACTCCGCCCCCTCCTTCTCCCCCCCACCCCTTCAATACCCAGCATAAACTATTTTGCCCTTATCTCTAATTTTGTTGAAGAGAGAGTATAAGCAATAATAGGAAGGACCAAGGGTTTTTGCTAGTTGAGATAAGGATAGCTATACAGGGAGTTGACTCACATTAATTTCCTGTGCGTGTGTGTTACCTTCTAGGTTAATTCTTTTTGATCTAACCTTTTCTCTAGTTCATGGTCCCCTTTTCTTATTGGCCTCAGTTGCTTTTAAGGTATCTGCTTTAGTTTCTCTGCGTTAAGGGCAACAAATGCTAGCTAATTTTTTAGGCATACACACACATATGCAATGAAATAACACTCAACCTTTAAAAAGAAGGAAATTCTGATACTTTCTACAACATGGATGAACCTTGAGAATGTTACACCAGGGAAATAAGCCACTCACAAGAAGACACATACATTATGGCTCCACTTATATGAGGTCCCTAGGGCAGACAAATTCATGGAGACAGACAGTTGATGGGGGTTGCCAGGAGCTACGGAAAGGAGGTGGAGAGTTAGTGTTCCATGCGTGTAGAGTTTCAGTTTTCTAAGATGGAGAATTCTGGAAATGAATAGTGGTGATGGTTGCACAGCTACAAATGTACTTAACACCACTCACCTGTGCACTTTAGCAGTGGTCAAAATTTAAGTGGTATGTGTATTTTTTGCATGCATTTTATCAGAATAAAAAATGGAAAAAATGCTGTGAGCATTGAATGGTATCAGTAGGTGAAGTGCTTGCCATCCTGTTGGGAAGTAACAGCTTTCCCGAAGCTGAGAAGAAGGTATCTTAGAGCTTATGTGATACACATGTCATCCTGTGACTGTCCCTTAATTCATTTCTTTTCTGTTGGACTTTTGTGTTTCTTACAGCCCACCACCACTGGAATAACGATGGAGTGAATTTTTTGTGCATTCACATATCTTTTCCATTATTTGGGATTGTACATGAGATACATTTCCTGGATCACTTCATCAAGGTGAATGAGCATTTTTGTCACCTAGCCAGTGGCTGGTCACAAGGACTTGTGAATTTACCCTTTCACCAGCCGAGTGAGGGCACCAGTTCCATTGTCCCTCACCAACACCGGCATACTTTTAAGCTGTTCCTATTACAAAATGTGGTAAATAAGAAATGGCATGTTGATGTTTGAATAGGCACTTATTTGTTTTTATTTGATCATTAAAAATGTTGAGTGTTTTGCACGTCTTCATTTATGCTTATTTCTTCCTGTGTGAATAGCCTGCTGACGCCTGCGGCTTTTATATCTTGTGTGGGTTCAATGTCTTTCATGCCACATAATCTGTCATATTTAGTATATATTTTGTTATCATTTTTAATATGCAGAGTCTTAATGGTTTTGTAGCTACATCATTCATTCAAACATTTCAAATGACCAAGTAAAATTTACAGTGGATCAGGGCTTCAGTGTGGCTCAAGCAATAATATACCTACCTAGCAAATGCAAAACACTGAGTTCAAATCCCAGTACCACACACATGCACTAAGATTTGTAGTGGACCAAAGGTGGCTTTACCCCAGGACGATTCTTGTACTGGCTGTAGCTTCTTCTTAAGCTTTTCACTATCATTCTTTTCCTGAAATCTGCTTAGATGCTAACTTAAATGACTAGATATTTAAATAAAAATTATGTGGGTTGGCTAATAATAAAACATAAACAATAATCAATGAATAGCTCAGTGCAAAAAAAGACATGACAAAGGTTAGAGCAAATTAAAAAATTAAATTCGCTAATAAACATGAAACTTATTTTTACCTCACTAATAATTAAACTTGTTCCAAATGAAACAATAGAATCCTACCCTCCAGCTGTAAATTGCTAAGGATTAAGTACAGCGTAATAGTGAGTGAGCCAGGCCCTCAAATATGCTGTCGACAGCAGGAGGAAATTGTGTCAACTTTACCAAAAAGCAGTTTGGCACTAGGCATTAAGAAACTTTTAAATGTTTACACACACTGATTTTGAAATTCCACTTACACAACTATGACTTGAGACAGCCTCTGAAGTGTGGGAAAATATTTACGACCAGGGATTGAAAATAGGATCCAGTCTAAATGCCCAATGACAAGGAATAATTGAATTAGTAATTGGACAATCATTTGATGGAGTGCTATGTAGTCATTCTAAGTGATGTTCTCTAAAAGTTTCAGTGGCATGGGGACATACAATATACCATAAATGGGAAAAGCATGCTGCAGTGACTACAATTGAACAAATTGCATGTGTGTGCACACATAGGAATCTGTTACGCATCCAGAAAGAGATGCATAAAAAATATCCATAGTGCATGTGTGCCGGGAGCATGGGTGATTTTTAGGTTCTTTTTTTTTTTGTTATTCCCCCACATTTCTCATTCTCTAAACATCACATCACTCGCAAGTACTGCTTCTACAACCACAAATCATAATTAGAAATATTAAAGACAATGCATAGATTTCTTTCTTTTCCTGGACTCACGTTCTTGATGTTCACCTTGCTCACTCTCCTTTGATGCATTTAGTGAAATCCTGGACAATATGTCAAAGGGTGTTTTTTTTCAGGTTGGGTTCCAGAAGTTCACTAGTTTTTCTGGCTTGTGAATAGAGGGGCTTCTGTCTTCCGTGCCTATAGCATTGGATAGTTGTGAGAAACCAACATGGGAACGCTTCTGCAAGTTGAGGTGCAAGTTCAAACTGTCCTCATGTTTCATGATTTGTTATGAGGACCATCAGAACTCACTAAAAGCAGCTGCACTCCTGGTTTGATTTTTCACAGGGAAAGAACACATTTCTACAGTCAGCTAGAGAGACAGCGGACAGCATCAGGGAGGGCTCCCTGGCTTCTGTTTTCCTCTCCCATGGAGACTGGACATGTTAGCTTCCTGGCACCCAGACGTGACCGTACCCAGAGAGCAGACCATCAATGAAAACTGCTTAAGCTTTGGTGTGTGTGTGGTTTTTTTTTTTTTTTGTGGTCCTACCCCATTGTGTGGGCAAGATGGATGGAGTGACTGCCCATAGGGATGAACTTGCCTAACTCACACCCAGAGCCCCTGCCCCAACTCACATGGTTGTCCCTTGCAGCATGGCCAGCCCCAACCCTGAGGCTGCCGGTATAGCTGGCCCCATCCTAACATTCAGTGTGGTCAGCCCCATTTCTACCCAGCATCTCATAGATTCTCTCCAGGAGCCAAGGGCAAAGACCAGAGCTCCTTTTGGTCAAGGCCAAATTCTTCACTATACATAAGGTGACTGAAAAGCGATAGAAAACAAACACAATAATAGAGACGGTGTTAGTATGGAGAGGCCTATTATTTTTCCCAGGTTCCAATACTGTGCAATAAGGAATGGATTAAATTCCACATCGGCAAGTGGTACTGCTTTGGGACCACCTCTGAGAGTAAGCCCACTTCCAGTGGGTCCTACCAAGAGACATTTGCTGCACTGGATACTTACCACAGAGAAGAACTAGGTTGAGCAAAAACACTTACCTCCCTGCTGGGCCTTTGAATCTAACCCTGGCCTCTGTGTTCACAGCATAGCAAATATGTCTCTCCACTAACGAATTGATCTAACACAAGTGAGTTCTCAGTCTGTTTTTACCAGCTTCTCTCTCTGGCACCACCTCGCTGTGCAGTGTGGCTGAGCCTACGGCACATAGCGTGGGGCGATGGCAAAAATAGATTGGCTCAGTCTCCTTTGTAGGGTTTCCAATCTTGAGCGCCATTGCAGGCAGTATCTGTAAGATTTCGTAAGAGTGAGATTAGAAAAGCGAAAATACAAGTTTATTTCTTGTGCACTTAGAAAAAATATGAGAAAATGAAGAAGCCATTGTCCTAAGAGGTTCCCTAGAATCTGGTTAACTATATGCTTTTACAAAGAAAAAAAAAAATCAGCAACAGGGACTGAGGATGAGTCTGTCAGCTGAAGTCCAGTCATGCCTCTGCTCTTTCTTCAGCAGGAAGAATTTCAGTTGTGGTCTGTGGTTTTTTGAGAACAAGTAACTTGCAATAAATTGATGTTGTTAGTAATTTGTGATTGTATGTTCTGTTTCTTTCAAGAAAAAACTGGCCATGCAGAAGTTGTCCGGGTTGTGTACCAGCCAGAACACATCAGCTTTGAGGAACTGCTCAAGGTCTTCTGGGAGAATCACGACCCGACCCAAGGTACAGTGATGAGTGAGCCCGTATTTAATTATCTTACTAATTACAGCTGGGATAATTAGTGTTTGAGCTGTATGGAAGAGATGAACCTTGAAATCACACAGGAGCTCAAGAATATGATTGCAGACATTTATTGATGGAGAAGAGGAGGGGTTGGGGAGGAAAAGGGGTGAGAGAATAAAGGCACAGCCACATTCGGCACCCCTCCCCCCTTACAGCTGTCAGGGGTGGGAAAATTCCCACAGAGAAAGATGCCAGACAATGGAGTTCCGTTCACCTTTGATTATTGCATTATTCCTCCTTAATGCAGTCTTTTGTCTACAAAATTAAAGTGTCTTTCCAGCAGCTCCAAAGTTTTCCTGATTTATGGTTCCTTTATTTTCCTGAGTTTAGCCTTTCTCATCTTTTGACGTTATCAGTTTTTGGGTTTTTTTTTTTTTTTAAATGTCTGTGGGTGATTTAAAAAAAATAAAGATAAAATGCAGCTTTCAGCAGGTCCATGATGCTTGGGTTATTTAAATATTGCATTTGTCTTCCTTGTAATTTGTTTTGCAGAAATATTAGTATATTTGGACTACAAACAATGGTGGCCAGAAATTTTATTTGAATGCACATGCAAGCAAAAAATTCCATGTTGGCAAATATTATTAGAATAACCAATAATGAAGCAATTATTATGAAACTTAAAGACTGCAAAGTCCTCTCTAATAGATGTGGTTTTTCGCAAACCCTTGTCAGTTAGCCTCAGTCTACTTAAAGCTATTTTCTCTTTGGTGTTGGGTTTTTGTGTTGTGGCTTTGCCATGCTGTTTCTTGATGAGTGGGTATGTCTTTCCCAAAGCTGTATTGTGCTCATGGCAGAATCTTAACATGATCCCATCAGCACAGGTTGGCAGGTCCTGAGAACCACCCAATACCAGGGTGATTTTCAGAGCGCAAAGGTCAGAGTGAAGGCAAGAACTGCAGAGAGATCGCTGGAGCAAGTCTGGGATGCAGGCAGATCTGCTGGGGTAGCTGAAGGCAGAGGTCTGGGCTAGGAAGGAGGTCAGGGCGGTGTTGTCATGGTAACATGATTTGGTTTGCCCTGGCAGTGGGTCCCTGAAGGGAAAGAGAGGAGGTATGGGATTAGGGTAGTCTAGGATATCTGGGACAAGAGCACTGAAATGAGAAGGTGTAGTTGTCACCCCATTTGGATTACTGGACTGTCATAGCACACAAGGGAAGCAGGCCTGAAGGCATGAACAGGAAGCTTGACTGGTATTCATCACAATAGGGTGGTGTGGCCAGGAGCTCATGCAAGGAAGTCTTCCAGCAGAGGGGGTGACACTCAGCCATTGGCTGGCAAGGCCAATGGTCAAGGTTGGATGCTGAGAGCTCCAGAATTATCAGTGGAAAACCATATCAGGAGCCCAGAGAAGCCTGAAGCCATGCAGGAGACACTCTTCCCACAGGCCAAATCTGTGACCTGTGACCTAGCCTTGTAACACCATGTCTTGGTAGGATTTCCCAAGGCTTTACCCAAGCAGTATTTCAGACAGTGTAGAAGTCTGTCATCTGTCTTCACCTCTCTTAACTTCTTGCCTTTTATCAAGTCTTTATTAGCTCGTACCAGTTAATAGGTTGCAGTACTGGCATCTGAACCTCAGAGGGAATTTTACCTTAAAAAGAACCTTGAAGAACCCCTTGCTCTCCCCGACCCCACATATCACAATTGTCTCAGCTGTGCCCCAGTCCTCACTCAATAACCTCATTTAAGTTCTTGATTTACTGCCTACATTACTTTCCTGGGTCACCATAACAAAGTGCCACGGACTGGACTGCTACGACAGCAGGCATTTACTTCCTCAGTCTGCTCCTTGACCTGAAGCCCAAGGTCAAGGTGTCCAGCAGGTTTTACTTCTTCTGAGGACTCTATCCTTGGCTTATTGATGGCAGTCTTCTCTGTTTGGCCTTTTATGGTCTTTCTTCTAGGTGTGTCTATATCCTAAGATCTCCTAATAAGGACACCAGTGATATTGACCCTATTTTGCCTTAATTACCAACATTAAAAACTTCATCAAACTACAAATGTAGTCACATTCTGTAGTTCTGGGGGTTAGGATGTCAACACATGAATGGGAGGGGCACAACTGGGCCCAGAACACTGTCCACTAACGTGATGGCCTCATCAGCTATTCTTCCAGAGGTGTTTCCAGTGTCCTTCGCAGACTCATAAACTGGAGATTTTAGAGGTCATCTGGTTAAACATTCCAGACAGAGTCAGAAATGCTTCTTATATTATTATCAGAATTATTTGGGGGGCAATGAGCTCAGTATAATGGGCCCTGCTAACAGCCTCTTTTTGCCTTGTAAGGTTTCCCCGTGACCCTTCTAGAGACCAGTTGGCTTCACAAGAAATGAGTTCATGACATAAGCCTGGCCAGTCACAATATATTGTCTTGTTGCCCACAGTGTTTGACCCAAGGAAGGATATGACGCCCAAGCAGAACCAATTGCATTCCTTCCTTGGTGCTGTTTTATGAGAAGAAAAGACTTTTCCTATTTCAGGGACACCAAGGTGGAGGTGCTCTGTGAATGGAAAGAGCCTGTCTATAGGGGAAGGAAGATGGCAGACATACTGAGAGATGAGAGACTGAGGGAGGGACACTCCAGGTTGCTATGAGGGCCACCTGAGGCTTGTCCTTCAACTCTGAGAGCTGTCCTTATAGCTTTCCAAGCTATGATGGGGCCAGGTAACCTAATTTGCTGTTCTTTAGCTAGTTGTTAAATTTCTGTTATTTGCAACAATAAAAATCCTAACTCATCCACTCATTTAACTTAATCTCCGTGTTCCTTGTATGAGTAACTATTAGTTAGCCATGCTCATTTGGCTTTATAAATCAGAGGTCTAAATCGCCTTGTTAATATTCAGATGGTGGGAGTGGGGTGTGGGGAGAGGGGCTTAACTAAAAAGTGTTCTTTGAGACCTATTGGTCCTGATTAGTGGTTTTCTTGGTAATTCACAAGTAATAAACAGGGTTTAGAGACCCCTCCTTATATCTCTGAACTGTTACGGAAGACAAATCATTCTTAAGGATATTGACCTTGTACTTCTTCTGCTGGCCAGGCACTCTGGTAGGGGTGCTAAATGACCAAGTGGTCTGAAATACAGAGGCATATCCAGCCTTTTGGCTAATGCGCAAGGAAAATGTATTCTTACAAGAAGAGTCAAATTCCAATGTGCTGAGATCAAATGAACCTACAGATTAATGTGTATAAGACTCAAGGCCAAAAAATTCCTATGAAATCACCGAAACAAGTTTGTGCTAACACTGGAACATTAAAGCAAAAACACAAGTTCAGAAGAACAGTGGAATCAATGGATTTCATATTCCCAGGGATGCCCGAAGATGCAAAACCTGTGGTCATGTGTAATTTCTCCAAGGTCAGAATTTGAAGACAGTCAACAGCAGAGAGAGCTGGGCTGTGAGTGAACTTGGCCACCTCTTGTCACATTTCCCAGTAAAATAGACCTGTAAGGAAAGCCACTAAAGAATAGATAAGGGTAGTGAAGATGTGTAAGATGGCCATTCTTATGCCATAAGAGATCTTTCAGAAGAGGGCGGTGTGCTGGGTTTGGGCGACTCTGATCTGTGAGGCAATGGCCCACTCAGGTTTCTTCTCAGAAACAAGAATTAGGGATTCCTAAAACCACTCAAGAAACGCTATTGCCTGTGCCAGTACTGCTTATCAGCGAGAAAACAAAACTTGAGTAGAAGTTGAGAAGACTTGACCTTTGATGTGAAGACGTGCCCAGGAAACACGTGTTTCTCCCCAGAAAGATGACTTCAGAGAGACATTTAATTAGCATGTCGGAAGACTTTAGTACCTTATTGATGAAGTCATTAGGTATTTGAAGGGGCTGCTTATATTTTTGGGTTATAATTTATTACATTTTGAGGGAGTAGCAGTATCCTAGAAAGATATTTGCAAATGTGGGATTCTTGCTAATGTCAGGGGTCTTACCATAGTAGAAATAACAGGAATTTAACCTTAAATTCTCTTTTCAATTAAATCAGACCTTCTCAAACAGAAAATCCTGTGTGTTCTTCGCTGCTTTAAGGAACTAAGCAGCTCTCACAATATCTGCCCCAGTGGGTAGGACAAAGTCTCAGACATCGCCCCGCATTTTGAAGGGAGCATAGCTGGTAAGAGGATTGGAAAGTGTAGGTGTTTCGAGGTGCTCATTCCCTAGACACAGTGAGCCCAGAGACAGTGGTGCTCAGTGATCAGCTGCACATGGAGTGGAGCCAAGAGCATCACTGCACATTTGTCAAATAGTCTTTTACCTTAACCTACCAGTTACCACAAAACCTCCCCTTTTGCCAAAAACCAAAAACCACTTAACTATCACTTTAAGGCAGTGTATCCAGTATGGGCTTTCCATCTTACTCCTGGGGTAAAGGTAGTTCTCCAGGCCTCTGAGGATAGAATGGGGTGTGCCCATTCCTGACCATATCCCCAGACTCCCAAAGTCCCCAGGCAATGCGTCAGAGCCGGACATTGAGGAGACTTGGATTCTGGGCCCAGTTTGGATCCTTCCCAACTTTGAGATGTTTGCCAGGATCCTCAATCAGAACCTCTGTTTTTAACACCCAGAAAGACATACTATCTATCCTGTCCGTTTCACAGACTGTCATGAGAATTAAAACTAACGTGAGGCTGGGAAGGGACCATGCAAGGGCCAGGGATTGTCATGTCTTTCTCAGCACAGTAGAATTTCCTCAGATTCTTTGAAGTTTACTTTTATAGTCATGTTCCCCTTGATTTCTTTCTGTGTGGAACTATTGTGCTCACCATCTACAAGGTCCTCTCTTGTGTGAGTGGGGAAGAGTTCAGCTTTATGTTGTAGGCTCTGCAATGCTGCTGGTGCTAAGGATGGCAGCGACTGGTGGATCCTTGGGCAGGAATTGAAAGAACTGGACCTCTCATGCCTGGTCTCTATCCTTCTAACTGGCATGTGTT